AGGAGGAGGAGGAGGAGGAGCAGGAGCAGGAGGGTGAGGAAAACGTTTTCCAGCTGCCGGCTTGCCCCTCGCCGCCACCAGCGCCAGGGCCGCTCGTCACCACTGCGCTGCGCCATGGCGTCCGCCTGCTGTAGTACCCGCTGGGTCGCAGTACGCTTCTTGCGGCAGCGGCCGTCTTGCCGCAGCAGGTTGGTTGGACAGCGGCTCTTCTGCAGCCCGGGGGCCGGGGACGAGGGTCAGGCCGCGTCCGCGCCTCTGTATCAGCGTGCCGTGTGCTTACGGCGCTTCGGAGGTGGGACCGAGATCCTGGGATACCGCTCGGAGGGGAGGTTGTCCTGGGGTCCTGCTCTGTCGGCTGCGCCTCGCAAAAGCCCTCTGGGGCCGCCACTGTCGTCACGTTTGGCCACGAGAGCGGCGGCCGAATCACGCTTGTGTCTGGTCGTGGATTGGAGCCGCCGATCGCGGTCGTGGCGGTCGTTAGCTGGCCGATCGCAGCGGGCTCCTCTCCTTTGGGCGGCAAAGTGGCTGTCGCCACGGGGGCCGTGACGGGATGGGATCGCTCAGCCAGGACGGCGATCGGCAGCACGATCGCCCTGCTGCTCAGGTCCGTGGCCGCGCAGGCCACGGGCGTTGCAACGACAAGGACGCTATGCCTCCCAGATGGGGTCCGACTAGATGGGGGCGGAGGATGGCACCGCATCGACGATGAATCGGCGATGCGGCTCGGTGGGGAGCTCGATTTTCTCGACGCCGGCGTCGCTGATGCATCGCCGACGTCCATATGCATCAGCGATGCGGCGCGACCCTCCGACCCTATCAACCCCGACTCGGAAGCCGGGCAAGGGCTGCTAAATCCGTGGCTACTAAAATCGACCTCTGGGAAGTTGTCTTCGTCCTTCTGGGAAGAAGCCCGTTGACTGTTTCGCGTGCCGCGCCTCATTCCGGGAAGTTGTTTTTTCCTTCCGGGAGGGCCGTTTCAGCAGCCACGGTTTTGGCAGCCCTCGCCCAGCTTCCTACCGACCCCATCCAGGAGTCATCTAAGGAAGCCGCCGACGGCACGGCAGCTGTACGAGGCGGCCGTCGCGTCGACACCCAGCCGGAAAGCGCGGGGGTTGCAAGCGGCGGGCGCCGTGCTGGCGGCTAGCGGCCTCGGGGTGCTGGCCCGAAGGGTCTGTCAGAACAGTGTCCGCGTCTGTGCCTGTTCAGCACTGCCAGAATGTGCAGCATGATCGCAGAGGATCGACTACACTTAAGAGTGACCCTTCGCTGGAGTGACCTTTGGTGCGGGCCCATTTGGCCCCCCCCCGATCGCTGCATACGATGTGATAGCAGCAGCTTGCGCGCTTGGGGTTGGCTCCCCCGCGCCTCCCCCAAAACCGCGCACCAAAGGCCACTCTTGCCTAGGGTCACTCCTGGCGTGTAGCCGAAAGCGCTGCCAGATTTTGCAACATGATCACAGAGGAGAGGGGGGGGGAAGGACAACAGGGGTGGAAGGGGAGGGGGAGGATGACAGCGCGGGCGTGGGGGGGCCGGGGGATGTGAAGAAAAGGGGCAAATGTGGGGCGGGGAATTTCTGGGGAGATGGAAAAAAAGGGGAGTGGAGGGAGCTGGAAACCGAAACATTGAAGAAGAGTGGGAGACTGAAAGAAGATGAAGAGGGAGAGGGGCAGGGGGGCGAGTAAGAGGACAGAAGGGAGTGGGATAGGGACAGGCACCGGGGGGAGGGGAGCGGGACCAGCAGGAGCGGGGAAGTGGCAGAGAATAGTAATAGTAGTGCCACTAATTCTGACAGTCAAGCGCATGGCAAAGCTCATAATGACGTATCCACAGAAAAGAGGAGACGTAAGCGAGAGAGGCCTCGGGAGGAGGGTAACGGGGGGGGAGGTAGCCGACCAGAGAGCAGGTGGTGTTCGGATCCGCCGAGATCTGGCCCCTCCAGCCGATGGCCACGCACGCACAGAGATTCAGCACACCTGGTCGTGTGGGCCACTCCAAATCCATGGAGGTTTGCTAAGAAAAGTGGCCTTCCCTGTCCTGGCTCTTCCTCCTCCTCCGGTTCTTGCTCTGTTTTTTTTTGTTTTCTTCTTCCTCCTCTTTCTCCTCTTCCGCTCGACCTCCTGTTCCTCCTCTTTCTGACGCGGCCGCGGGGCCTCTGAGCGGAGGGTCTTTTAACCCCCTTCTCGAGGTGTTCGTTCTCGTCGTCGTCGCCGGCGCCTTTCTCCTGACCCTTTCCTGCCCCACTTCTTCCGCGCACGCACGGCCGACATATTTTTTCTTGGTTATCCTGCTTGCATGCTTTATTGCATCTTGACAGATCCACCTCGAGAAGAGCCGCCCAGAGGTCCTCAAGCCTCCCAGCACCCTAATTGAGCGACAGACAGCCATGTGCATTCGCACAGGAGTGGTCAAGGGAAGCGGCCGCGGTCGGCTGCAGTCTTGCGCTGCGCCTCTCCCGCGGCCTCGCTAGTTTGCTGTCCAAAAACTCGCCTGGGGCCGTGCCGTGGAAGAGCTCCGTAGCTCTCGGCCCGGCCTCACCGGCGAGGACACTTTCAAGGCACAGGTCTTGTCAGAGAAACAACCGCCAGATTTGTCGTCTCGCCACCAGCTGGGGCAGCGCACTCATCGCCATTCTCAAGGACGACGGCGAGGTGACCACAGGCTGACAGGACATGATGAGCTGGGAGAGCATTGGCCTAAGACGCTTTGAGCGCAGGGTATCACGGAGGATCTGCAGTACCAGTGGTTTGGGGGCGACGCGGGCTCCAGACATCTCGCGGACATGGTCAACACGCGGCGGGCCCAGGTGACCAGGTACGATTCCGGAAGTCACATGTGGTCCACGCTCTGAAGACCTCAATCAACACTCTCCCAGGCCCCGACGGAATCCCTCTTCTGGCTGTCTCCGACGGAACCCAATTTCAACGCGGCGCCATACATCTACGGGAATTGCGAGACGGGCCTCACCCAGAAGGGAACCAAAGTGTACAACGCCAGCCTGATGTTCCTCCTTCCCCAAGTGCTAGCTGGCACTCTACCGACAGGTGAGATCTACTTCGTGCCTGCGGGGGCCTGGCCCCCGACCGTCGAACCAGCTTCCAGCCAGGGTATCCTAGATGTTCAATGTGGTTTTCCTCGGTGGCCGCTCCATGCTGGCCAACATGGTTGGCATTGAGGAGGCGATGCTCCAGACGGCGCTCGGCAGTTCAGTGGGGGGACCCTTGTCGCTCTATTTTGCGGCGGCGTTCCCGTCCATCGAGCACAAGTTCATGTCCCGCGTATTCGACCACCTGGCGTGACCCGCTCGGCCTACGCCCTGTATTCCGAAGTTTCCTTCCTGACCGCAATGTGAGGAATCAGATTTTGCTGTTTGTACGTCGCGAAGGATGTTCGGCAGAGCTGCCCGCTGTCGCCCCTATTTTTCGCGGCCGTGATCGATGTTTTCCGTCGCGAAATGATGCGTCTACTTACAAACAGCGTGCGTCGTGGTTGCGCAAACGAGTTCGCGCTCGCTGTCACGAGCGTCTGGGCCTGCCCGCTGGTGGCGGAGAGGACCTCCCCCGACTTCGAGAGCGCATCTCAGGAATCGCCCTGGACCTCCGCAGTGCAGTCTACACCCCGCTCGTCCCCACGACCCTTTAAGAGGCTCGCGAGCGCCTGGCCGAGACAAGTCCGCTAGGGGGAGCGGTTGAGGTCGCCTTCGGTGCAGCGTGCCTCGGCACCCTCAGGAAGTGCCGTGGCCGCGCGGAAACGCGTGTGGGCGCGTTGAATACGATCAGGCTTTGTCAGATTTAAGTGGCGCTGTTCATTTCGTCCTGCGCGCAGCTCGGCCCGTTGCCGTCGAGCTTCGCTGGGGTCGAGAATAGGGCGCTACGTCGTGTGCTTGTCGGGCCTGGTGATTGGATGTCCCTTGACCTGCTCGCGAACCTTGCGCTGTCTCGATTCGCCCGTGACCTGTTCGATGTTCATGCCGCGTCTATTGCCGCTTGTGCGCGGGTTGCCATGCGCGAGGATTGCAAGAACGGTGGGCTTCAGGTGGTTCGCTGGCAGGGCGAACGAACTTGAAAGTCTTGCAATGGCCACTAGCGACGCTGCAGCCCGCCTCACCGATGTTTACAAGTGGCACCAGAGTAACTTTTCCTTCCGGCGTCCGTGGGTGAGCGCGTCACATTGCATATCCAGCGCCTCGAAAAACAAGGGGGAATATCCCACCAAACATCCAGCGCCTCGAGCAACTCTGGAGGGGTCTGCAGGCCTGTGCTGCGCGACCGCTGTGGCCGAGCTGCGCTCCTGCAGCCCTGGCGCATCTCCGTCGCAAGCTTCGTCGATCACCACTTCGAGCACCGGGTCCTCTTCCTCCTCCTCTTCTCCTCCCTCCTCCTCCTCCTCCTCCTCCTCCTCCTCCTCCTCCTCCTCCCTCCTCCTCCTCCTCCTCCTCCTCCTCCTCCTCCTCCTCCTCCTCCTCCTCCTCTTCCTCCTCCTCTATCACGATGGATTGGCGTCGCCGCGCTGCGGACCTCGTTGCGCCGCGGGTCATGGCAGCTGCAGCCTGGGCTGCTTGCAAAGGTTGGGCGAACGCGCGTCGATTTCATGGGCCGTTCATGTCTTAATTCTAGACGCTTCGCGTATCCCCACCAGCCCGTCCAGAAACGACGCCCAGGCGAGTAGAGGGTCGTCCTGAGGGGCTTTTCGGCGTCTTGGGTGCCTCGGGGGGGCCTCTGGGGGCCGTTCGGGATCCTCTTTGGGGCCTCCTGGGGGCCTCTTGGGGCCTCTTGGGGCCTCTTGGGGGTCTCTTGGGGGCCTCCTGGGGGCCTCTTGGGGGGCCTCTTGGGGCCATCTTGGGGCCATCCTGCGGCCTCTTGGGGCATCCTGGGGGCCTCTTGCGGCCATCGTGGAGGAAATCGGTCAAAGAAGAGGGGAGCTCTAATTAGCGCTGCCCCCTCAGAAGGCCAAAATGGGGCCGAAACCATAGTAAAATCAATGATTTTGGCTTCCTCGCCGAGGCCGTTTTGGACGCTCTGACCGCTCCCCGCCCCTCCTGTCCAGGTCAGTGGGGAAGGGGTAGGGGGAGGGGTAAACCCCTCCCCCGAAGGGGAAGAGGGAGGGGTGGAAGAGGAAACGCCCTAAACCACCGACGCCCAGAGGGCTGGTGGGATTTCTGCTCGCGGTACTTGGGACAGCGGCTTCCATCCATGGAGCACGCTCTGGAGGACTTTGTCGGTATCGACCGTTTTCTTGGAGCGGATGGCAGCGCCGCGGCAGCGTTCCCATCCAAGGTTTGCACATGACGCACGCGCAAGTCCGCCACGGATTTCGGCTGGCTGGTGCCGCGAACGCCTTCCGTGTTTACCTCCGTGAGGCCACGCGGCGCGCCCGAGGTCGCTCGCGAAGCGATGGTGAGGGCCTCTGCTTCGCAGAGCCCGCGGCCAACCAGAGCCAGAGGCTGAATCTTAGTTTTTTGTTTGCCAGCCTTTTCCTACCCTCATCCGTCCGCGTTGTTCGCTTGACGTCTTATCTCAACCTGTCGCGCACTGGGGGCCACTTGGGTGCCCTTCGATCCGGCGCGGTGCGCCGGGACTTGTGCTTGGTGAGTCGCGGCGGACCTTGTCGGTCGCTTTGTCCACCTCATCCCTCCCTTCTTCCTCCTGGTCCCAGTGCCTGCTCTATCCTCGCCGGCGCCGCCCACGGGCTCGGGCTGCCGGCTTCGCCGCCGTCGCCGCCGCCTCGCCCTCGCTCTCCGCCTCCTCTCAGGAGGGGAAAAAACACACAGACACAATTGATCGTCGATTCCCAGGAAAATATAGAAAAATATGGGGAGTGGGGGGAAGACAAGAACCCAGAAAATGTGGGAGAATATGGGGAATCTGGTTCTTTGTGTGTATTTCTTTTGTGTGTCCTAGGGCCTCTTCATCCTCGTCCTTCCCCTCGTCGCCGCCGCCATCCGCGGGCGGGGACGGGGGCCCCGGCCGCCCAGGCGTGGCAGAACTGGGCTGCGCTTCTGGCGATGGCGACCTGGAACGCGCTGGGCGGCGGCCTGCTGTCGGTGGGCGGGGCTCTGGCCGCGGCGTCCATTGGCGGCCCGCGCCGGGGCGGCAAAGGGCGGAGGTCGGCAGCCGCGGCCCCGGGGGAGACCCGCAGCCCTGTCTCGCGCTCCCCTCGTGCCCTCGTTTCTGCCTCTTCCCTCTGCCAAGCTCTTCCCGTGCTGCAGTCTCGTCTTCTGCAGCGTCCCTCCCGACGCTTGACTCAGCTGCTGCAGAGTGTGAAGGCGAATGTGCGTGGCGCTTGAGCGATAGCCGTTTTCTGGAAACGACCCGCACTCAATCCGCGTACCTAGTGAATCCTCAAGCGTCAGGGTCATAAGCGGTGAGGAAGTCTCAGGCGAAACGCTTGGCCCCCTATCGATACGCCTGGTGCTGCGACGATGAGGAGTTTATCAGGACAGCGGAATGGAGGAGGAGCAGGATACGTTCATCTTTCCAGTGGGCATGGAGAATGAATGGGTTGTCCGTGCTGTCCAGGGGGGATGTCCTGTTATTTCTTGAGTCGATCATCTTTCAATTGGGCATCGTAGGGACTCGCGAGGAGGCGAAGGCCCTTGGAGTGTGAGGGTGCAGTTCAGCATCTTTGATGCGTCCTGGGTATACCCTGGTCCTTTTCCTCCTGCTGCTCCATTCCCCTCGGGCTCGTTAGCGCCGCTGCCGCGGGGCTGCTCCTGCTCAGCTCCTGGAAGCGGATAAGCCGCAGCCGATGTTCAAGCTGAAGCTGCTGAACGACGCCGAGCGCTGGAAGGCCGACCAGAAGCAGCTTGCCGAGCTGCTGGGCCAGGCTCCCCCCCCCTCCTCGTCTCCCCTCCCTCCCCCCCTCCTCCCTCCTCCCTCCTCCCTCCTCCCTCCTCCCTCCTCCCTCCTCTCTCCTCTCTCCTCCTCCCGCCGTGCCACCTCGCCACGAAGACTCCACGGGCCCAGCTGGATCCCAGACCCTGGCGGCTGCCGCCCTGGCAGCCCAGAGGCAGGAGGCACCCCCTCCACGAAAGCCCTCGGCCCGACCGGGGCCTGCGGAGGCTCGGCCTTGCTGGTCGGCCTTCCCCTCCCGAGGAGGCGTGGCCCTGCACGGAGCTGGCGAGGGCCGCGAAGGAGGAGGAGACGGCTCGGAGGCGACAGGTGCAGGAGGCCCTTGCTCACCAGCGGGTTTTAATCCTTCACGCTCTGGCCGCCGGCGATGCCGCCTCCACCGTGCTTGCCCGGCTGCGCCCGCGGACTTTCGTGTTCGACTTCCAGGTCTCGCCGCCCGGGCAGGATGGCGGTCTCCAGGGCGGCATGAAGCAGAAGCTGGTCGCGCTGCGAGACACTGTCACCTTTATCCTGGCGTGTGCGTCGCCTCAGGACTCCGTGGTTCTGCGCCTCAGGTCGCCAGGAGGGGGGGTCACCGACTATGGGCTTGCGGCATCTCAGCTGCTGCGGTTTCGGAAGGCCGAGATTCCGTTGACGGTGTGCATCGACAACGTGGCCGCGTCTGGTGGGTACATGATGGCGTCCACGGCTAATGCCATCGTGGCTGCTCCTTTTGCATTCGTGGGCTCGATTGGCGTGATAGCCACGGTGCCGAACTTTAGCAAGCTGCTGAAGCGAGCGGACGTCGACTACCTCCAGTTCACCGCCGGAAGGTGGAAGCGCACGGTGGACCCGTTTACGCCGCCAACAGAGGAGGGCATCGAGAAAATGAGGGAGGACGTAGACAAGATCCACCAGGCCACGGCTCGACGACGACGACGCCAACGACGACGATGCCAGCGACGACGACGAGGACAACGACGACGACGACGATGACGACGACCGACGACGACGACGGGCGACGGTGGCGACGACGACGCCGACCCACGAACGGCGGACGGTGATGTAGCGGACCGAACGACGGGGAGCGCCCTCCCATTCGATTCGATTTCGATGGATTCCGATTCCGATTCGATTCGACTTCGGATTCCGCCTCGGATTCGGATTCCGATCTCTCTGTGGAGGCCCGACTAGCCTGCCGAGTTCCGCCGATTCGACTCCTCCCGACCTGGCTGCCGCTCTCCGCCGGTCCGATTCGCCTCCGTTGCCGACCCGAGTTATCGATCCGATTCCGGGCTCTCCTGCCAGGCGTTCAAGGGGCACGTGGCAGAGAGCCGGGACGTGGACATCGAGGGGGTTGCCACCGGCGAGGTGTTCATGGGCGTGGAGGCCGTGGGCCGTGGGCTGGTGGACCGGCTGGCGACGAGCGACGAGGTGCTGGCGGCACAGATGCAGCACACGGACGTGGTGGAGGTCTCTCTGGCGCCCGCGAAGAAGAAGGCGGGCGGGGCCGCCGCCATCACCCCCTGGCCTTGCAGTCGGTGGGGGGGCCTGAGGTGGCCCCAGCATGGGTTTCAGCGAGCAGGAGGGGGGGGGCCGAGGTTCGAGGTGCTCGGTTCACGAGGCTGGTTGGCTCTTGTCGGTCTCGGGAAGCCGTATTCGTGCGCCAGGACCGTCAGGAAAGGCTTCGGGGTGAAAACATGCAGTAGGTGGACCCTGGGAGCGGTCCGGGGATTGGTCTTGAGCGGATTTGGCTTCATCCCCCCTCCTGACAGAGTTTCTGGGGTCCCAGCTAGTTCAGACCCCCAGCGGCCTGCAACCCTGGCTTCTCGGTCTCTGGGTCTCTGGCCAGGGAGAATGGCTCGAAGGTCCACCCGTGGTATCTTCTCGACGTGGCCTTCGCGAGGAAGGCCCCAGGAGCCAAGGCCCCCAGAAACTCCCTTAAGTAAGCTCTGAGACTCCTGAGGAGGCGGCAGGTTTTACCCTCTCTGGCTTATCCTTCTTTCCCAGGCATGGGATATCTGTTTTTTTTCAGCACGGGGTCCCTGGAAATCCCGACCCTTTTCCTTGGACCGGTTTTTCATCCTGCGTGTTTTCTTGAAGCTCCCAGGGCCCAGCGGGGGCAGCCAGAGGCCGAGAACTGTCAAGAACCTCGCGATGCGAGCATGGCTGGGTCACCTGCGCGGGACATGCTCGGGGATGTCTGAAGCCTCGCCATCGGACCTCTCACGCACGAGGGGCAGCGCTGGCGCTCGCACGAGGCGGTCCCTCGTGCTGATGTAGCGTGTGGCATGTAGGAGGGTAGAGGCAAGCAGCGTAGCAGGTAAGCTAGTGAGACTGGTGCGGTACAGATTTGAAGCCTTGAGTGTACAGCTGTGTGCGCACTCCGCCGCCTCATTGGCACGGAAAGCATCATGGTAGCGGAGCTGGCCGAAACCAACTCCAGCTAGCGCCCCCCAGCGGCACTGACCTTCCCGCGCGCGCGAAGCGGCGCCATCGCCGCGGGGGATCAACGGCAGACCTTACAACGGCACAGGGAGGCGAGGCGAAACCCGCCATATGGAGCTCTGGTGCAACCGAGTAACCAAGGGCGCTCGGGAGGTAACTGGGCGGAGTTAACAGGTAGACCGCAGCAATGTCGGCAGGCGTCGAGTGGCAGGCAGGCTGCCTCAAGCCGCCCGCCTTCGACGGACTCGAGGAGCACTGGCAGCAGGCAGCAGTGGTCCTTCGCGATGAGAGTCTTCCTCGGAGGGTGGACGCAGGCATCTCAGCGCCCGCTGAGGGCCGCCGAGGATCTGAGGAACGAGCCTGGCATTTCGGCAGGGCAGAGCCATAACTCGCTGGATGACGAGGGTGCCGCGGCAAACCGCAAGATGTTCTTCAGCTTGGTCATGGCCGTGAAAGCCGGTGCTCCGATGTTCATGCGAGGAACAGAAAGCATAAAGGTGCAGCATATTGGAGAGCGCTGTGCAAAATGTACGAAGCAGCTACGGCGGTTCGGGCCAGGAATCTCATGGCAAGCGTCCTGAACGTCGAGCAGTTCACGCATGCCCTGGCGGAGTGCGGGGAGGCTCGCGCGAAGTGGGAACGCGTGCGTCAGGACGGTGCTCCAGATGGCAAACGAGCGGACCTACGACGAGCCCGTGGCTACCATCATCCAGTCCCTGCAGGCGGCTTCGATCCACGCCGACGGGGTGCAGGAGGCCCTCGCCCCGGCCGCCCAGGCCTCCACGGGGCCCCGCTGCCGTGGAGGTCGACGCGCTTACTAGGCTTGCGGCCTGGGCAGAGGCAGGGGCCGCGGTGGTTAGGACGACGGCGCTCAGGGCGGCGAAGGCGATGGAGGCAGAGTCGGGAAGACAGGGGGGGAAGACAGGTGGGCAGACGAGCCTGACGGACACCAGACCGGAGTGCTTCAACAGCGCGCGTAGGGGCCGCAACGCAGGGGGCTGCTGGCGTCTAGCCCAGGCGGACGGCGAGGCAGGATCCCGGGGGTGTGGTCGTAGGGGCCCCAGAGGCAGAGGAAGGGAACGGACCGGCCGCGGCGGTTCGGTCAACGCGCTCTCAGCGCAAGTGCGTGCTTGGTCGCGGGTGGTCTCTTCGCCCGGCAGTGCGGCTGCATCGGCGGTGGGGCCTTCAGCCGGCCCAGATCGGGGCACCTGGGCCCGAGAAGGGTCGCATCCATCGCGCAGCAGGGGACGACCGCCGAGTCCGATCTGGTGCCAGGCTACATCTTCGTGGTGGCGGATAGGCCCATGATCAGAAGGGGGGGGGGGGGGGGGGGCGTGGGCGAGTGGGCCAGCGTGCTGATGCTAACCGACAACTGCGTGGACGAGCACGTGTGCGGCCAGCGCGACTTCCCACGGGTGCCCATAACGCCTAATAGTAAGCCGAGTTTGGCGGTGGCAGAAGCGCAAAGCCATCCTGGAGTTCCAGGTGGCGGATGTGAGACAGCCCATCATGAGCGTCGGCATGTTCTGCATGATGCGCTGCATCCGAGTGGCGTGGTACGACAGGCACTGGGGCGTGCTGCGACACGAGACTGCGGGGCTTGTCAAGGTGAAGAAGGTCAACGACCGCTGCGTACTCGAGCACGGGGCTAGGAACGGGCGCGTCCAGGACTGCTCGATGGTGAATGGCCCGCTCGTGGCGCCATTCAGGGCAGCAGCCGCAGCGCGACCAGGAGAGGAGGATGAAGGCCACGCGGTAGAGCAAGGGCTGGCAGGCGGATCGCTAGCTCGGGCAGTGGGGCAACCAGCGGCACGTGAACCATTGGCTCAGGCAGTGGAGGCGCGGCCAGCAGCTGCTGCATTGGCCGATGCGCTCATGGACGGGCCAGCGGCGATCCCCGACGATTGCGCCCACCGGGAAACCGAGGTGGTAGCGCATGGTCTCGTCAGACCGCGTCAACAGAATGCGGAGGATGTTGGGGGGCGCGGACTAAGGTACTCGTGAGCAGAACCTTGGTTTGACGTCTGTGTGCAGGCGAAGGCCAATGACGTGGCGCACGCGTGTAGACAGGAGGGGCGGCGTCATTGCGCTGATAGGTTTCGATTGCGGTCAGGCAGGAGAGGAGGGCGATGCAGTCAACCTCGGGTTCGCTGTCGGGAGCGACGCCTCCGCGGGTAGCGCGTGGAGTGCAGCCATCACTCCATCACCAAATAGGGTCCGGCGACCCCTGCGCGATTGCCTCAGCGGTGTCGTGGTTGGCTGAACAGGGGCACTCACGAGTCGAACTGCAGCCAGGGGGGGCGGCTGAGTTTTCGTTCACCGCGGCGCTGAGGAAGAGGGCGCTGCAGGACGGGGTCTGCGCTGGCGGGAGTGCAGCTCCCAGGTCGAGGGGCGGGCAGGTGGAGCCATGCAGACTGGAGGAGCAGGTGGGGTCCTCCATGTTGGCGGTGTCGAAGAAGGTGGGGCACAAACGCTTCGCGTCGAACTCCCCGTTCCCCCCGTGGCTTCCCCGCCAGGCAGCGCGGCTCTACGACGGGTGCGTGGTTGGGGGGGGCGCCGACCTGACGTCCTGCGAGAAGACGCGCGCGCTGAATTGCCAATGGCCGATCGGGGTAGTCGGTGAGGCGGTGATCTGCAGACGGCCGGGAGCCCCTGTCCACAAACTTGACCTTGTGGCTGGGGGATATCTGGCTCGGCAGAGATGCCAGGGCCGACGAGCGCATCGTCGGCGCCCCGACGGGGGTCGCCATGTCCAGGGCGATCAGGCAGAAGGTGGAGAGCAAGCGCCGGGGCCTAGCCTTGCTCGGCAAGATGACCTGGGCGCCTTGGGGGGCGGCCCGGGTCTCGGGGGGGGGCTGCCGACGCAGAGGTCGGTTCAGAGACCGATCATTTTGGGGCCCTTCCCCAATATAGTAAAGGCTCCGTTGCCGCCCCCGGTAGCCGAGGCGGCGGGGGCAGCGGCGCCGGCAAGAGGAGGGGCCCCGCCAGGTGGAGGAACCCCATCAGGAGGAGGGGCCCCGCCAGGAGGAGGGACCCCGCCAGGATGATGAGCCGCAGTAGGAGGAGCTGCAGCAGCTACGCGCGCTCCCAGGCCTGCGACAGCAGCGCCGAGAGGGTCCGCATCATTGGGCGACGTGGACGTCGATGGGGGCCAGACTGAAAGCTAGGTGCTGCAGTCAGAGGTCGCCAGTGGACGTGAATCTGGCGCCGCCAGCTCAGGGCGTCGAGCTGGGCGCTGACAGGGCGCCCTCTTGGCGAGGCGCGGCCCCGTGGGGGGGGCGGCGCCGAGCGGCTTGGCGCCGCCGGCTCAGGCGGCGGCGAGGGCGGCGCCGGCGGCTGGGACAGCCGGGGCAGCGGCTCTCAAGCGCGAGCGAGACGGAGACGACGGAGGTGGCAAGGCGGGGAGCAAGTCACGGATCGCTGCGATCTGCGCCGCCAGCGAGATGCCCGAGGAGCTGGCAGTGGAGGGCGACGAGGTCTGCGCGAACCGAGGCGACTTCCAGGATGGGGGGAATAAGCATCTCGAGAAGATCGCGGGCAGACGGCCGGCAAATCGCGGGGCAGATTCCGATCGTCGAGGCGACTTCCATGATCTTGATAGGCAAGTGGGTCGACGCCAACCAGGCCGACGACGACGAGAAGACCTGGGTGGACCGCGCGGGGAGTCGAGGGGCAGACCTATGGCCGCGAGGGCCGCTCCGTCACTGCCACGCCGGAAGGTGATGCTGGTCAGCGCGGAGGTGAGGGTCCACGTGGTGGCATTCGGCAATTGCAGTGGAGCTTCTACCAGGCGCCCTTGCGGAGGACATGGACAGGCTCTTCTTGGAACCACCGCCCGAAGCAGCTGCGCCAGCCGGTTGCGCGTGGGAAGCGCTGTGCGGATTCCCGGGACTCAGTGGTGCGCCCAAGGCATGGGGGAATCGCGGCGCAGTGGCGATGGTGCAGATGGGTCTCGATCGAGGGCGCTGCGGCGGCAGCGTCTCTATGATGGCCCGGGACAAGGCCAAGGCTGGGCAACGCGCTGATGACTTCCTCGTGACAGGGCCCCGGAA